CTACATGTATATTATTTCAGTATACTACATGTATATTATTTCAGTATACTACATGTATATTATATTTCAGTATACTACATGTATATTATTTCAGTATACTACATGTATATCATTTCAGTATACCGGTACTACATGTATATTATTTCAGTATACTACATGTATATTATTTCAGTATACTACATGTATATTATTTCAGTATACTACCTGTACATATATTACTACTTTTATATTATGTATCAATATTTGTATTCTATTCACAGATAAATAAAATATATATATTTATATAAGATTTGCTTTAAAGTTTTAATAATTCAAACAAATACATTTGTTTCAATTTTTCTGTTAAAATTTCCCCTATTGGTGAGCTGACTATTAATAAGGTAGCATTAATAAAGATGTAGGTGTTTTACTGAAGTATATGCGTCACGAGGAAATATGAGCTCCTCATGATCAAAACAAATCTTTTTAATTTTATGTGTAACATCATGTGTAATGACATACTCTATACATAAGTAAAATGTACATTAAATTTCAAAATTACATAACCAAATAGTGCTGGTCACAAGTGATTTTTTTTCCAAATTTTTTGTTCTTTTAAAAATAGCTTCCAAACACCTACGATCATGCTGACAAATAGATAAATAAAAGAAACCAGTGAATTAAAGGTACATACATGTGTATGCACAATACCAGTGAATTAAAGGTTCATACCTGTGTATGCACAACACCAGTAAACTAAAGGTACATACATGTGTATGCACAATACCAGTAAATTAAAGGTACATACATGTGTTTGCACAATACCAGTAAATTAAAGGTTCATACATGTGTATGCAAAATACCAGTGAATTAAAGGTACATACATGTGTATGCACAATACCAGTAAATTAAAGGTACATACATGTGTATGCACAATACCAGTAAATTAAAGGTACATACATGTGTATGCACAATACCAGTAAATTAAAGGTACATACATGTGTATGCACAATACCAGTAAATTAAAGGTACATACATGTGTATGCACAATACCAGTAAATTAAAGGTACATACATGTGTATGCACAATACCAGTAAATTAAAGGTACATACATGTGTATGCACAATACCAGTAAATTAAAGGTACATACATGTGTATGCACAATACCAGTAAATTAAAGGTACATACATGTGTATGCACAATACCAGTAAATTAAAGGTACATACATGTGTATGCACAATACCAGTAAATTAAAGGTACATACATGTGTATGCACAATACCAGTAAATTAAAGGTACATACATGTGTATGCACAATACCAGTAAATTAAAGGTACATACATGTGTATGCACAATACCAGTAAATTAAAGGTACATACATGTGTATGCACAATACCAGTAAATTAAAGGTACATACATGTGTATGCACAATACCAGTAAATTAAAGGTACATACATGTGTATGCACAATACCAGTAAATTAAAGGTACATACATGTGTATGCACAATACCAGTAAATTAAAGGTACATACATGTGTATGCACAATACCAGTAAATTAAAGGTACATACATGTGTATGCACAATACCAGTAAATTAAAGGTACATACATGTGTATGCACAATACCAGTAAATTAAAGGTACATACATGTGTATGCACAATACCAGTAAATTAAAGGTACATACATGTGTATGCACAATACCAGTAAATTAAAGGTACATACATGTGTATGCACAATACCAGTAAATTAAAGGTACATACATGTGTATGCACAATACCAGTAAATTAAAGGTACATACATGTGTTTGCACAATACCAGTAAATTAAAGGTACATACATGTGTATGCACAATACCAGTAAATTAAAGGTACATACATGTGTATGCACTCAAACTTTTTTATTACTAAGTATATTTACCTGGTAATACAAATGTTCGGGTTATAAAATATTCTGGATGATGTCACTTTAAAGGATTTTCATTTTATACAATACCGGTGGCTTCAAAGATGAACTCCTTGTATATCCATATTGTATAAAACCTAGTACATTAACCTAGATCAATACTAAAATAAGATGCTTTTGTACATAATTCATGAGTTTCGAGCACATTGCACATGTTTAAAGCACTGTAACGTTAAAACTTATAACCTTTAATTCATACTAAGTGTACTTGATGGGGACAGGTCAAGGTCATAACATTATGGTTTCTCTAGCTATCTTTAACAGTATACTTCTCTGTCTTATACAGAGTATATATCTACAGATTCTGAAATTGTTATACTGGCTATATGTCTTATGTGAAACAAGAAATGTTTGCCCCTGTTTATATTTGTTGCTCTTGAATGAGTGTTTACTTCAACCACAGGTTCTAGCCTCGTCTGTCAATACACCAAGAAGATTATATTATGGGTGTATTGACAGACGAGGCTAATACCTGTGCTTCATTCAATACTGGGTGATAACACTAGTAGGTAAATGCTGGGATGGATTTTACACTGAGCAAATAGATTTTTAAAAGGCCAGCTGTGGATGAAAACATTGGGAAGTGACACCACATAAAATGGTATAGTGTTAATATATATACCTGGTGAATGATCTTAATCATAAAGACTACAGTATTTCATGCTAAGAAATTAATACATGTTTTATTACAATATAGCTCGTAAGAGAAGCCACAACACCTTTTTGACTGAAACTTATGATTGCAATTGATTGCCATCTTTTCACTGATCAAATTGACAAACTGAAATATTATGAATTTATAAAATGTTAGCACCATTTTTTGCTTAAGTAAGGAGACAACATTTCTCTATTTAGGATATCATGAATATAGTAAAAACTTGTATAAAGAACAAGCACATAAAAGAAATGTAATAAAAGCAATCCTTAATGTCTTTATCTGACGTCGCAGATACCGCTCAATAATTGTGCAGGCATACATATAATCTTGTGTGTGTGTGTATGGCTCACTCATGGAGGTATCCATTTACATCTGAATCTCATGCTATCTGCAAGGTCAGATAGACATAAATGTAGTGTATTGCTTATATATGCACTGAATATATATGGTGATATGATTTTACCCGACATCTTGCCGTTAACTGGATGCTGTTCATACAGAGAGATACAGATGCCATAAGCCTTCTGGTTTTTGTTGTTCCAGTTTCTGACCCCTGCAATCTCACTTGTTGACAAGGAGGAATTGCCATCTACAAGAAACAAAATAAAACTGTAAATGTCTAGTAACTGCAGAGGAACATTTAGTCACCATCAGACACAATTATGAATTAGCTTTATAACAGTACAAGTAAATAAAACTTTCTATCCTGTTTCCTGGGACTTCTTTGTTCAGTGTACACTGTACATACTGATTCAATATATTTGATACAAAATCAATAGCTTCTAAAAGGAAACAGCAATGATCAGCTCAGACACCTGGGTCTGGTGTAGAACATACTTGATTCTGCAGTGGATACTGTACACGGTACACTACAAAAATGACATTAATATTATTCATTCACAAGCTTGCACAGAATACTTGCAGGATTTTTGTAGTACATACCTGGGCCCAGTTGTTCAAAAGATGATTAGCTTAATCACTGTTTAACGACATTTTTCAACCTTTGATAATTTCGTCAATATACAAGGTAAAAGCTCGTAATTTTACACCTACATTAACTCTACTAAATACTGGATATCTGGAAAGTTTTAACTCAGTCAATGGTTGTGTTTCAAAGATACACATAAATTGAAATTTGCGGTAATCACTGATTAAGCTAATCGTCCTTTGAACAACTGGGCCCTGGTATATGCTATTTAATCCCTTATATTTAATAACCCATCTAACATTGGAAAATAAGAATGCTTATAGATAAGGATCTGGAATACTAGTGAATTAATTAATGTGACAATTTTGTGTAAGCTACAGTATATATAGCAGGGAGGTTGGAATATTACTAACGAGGAAAAGAAAGTTGATAATCGTCTACTAACATTTTTCATAGACTTTCATAATGGCGAGATCACTGTTGTCATACACACAAAAGGTAAATGCCAATAACCTGGACACCACATTAAGTGCTTTTACAAGGGCCAGAAAATCTCATTTCTTGCAAGAGACTGTACTTGACTTTATTACCCACTATGCAGTACACATTGCCAGTGTCTGGACTTGAATAATCACTTCATTCTGGCATGGCTTTAATTCATAAAGACTGAATAGAACTTAACTTCCTAGCTATACCTTTACTCTAGACAATGGAAAAGCTATATCAAAAAAAGTATTTCAAACTTACGAATTGAGAAATCAGATGTAAATGAAATTAATACATGTATGATATATCCAGTGAAATTCAATGTGTCTTGTAAAAGATCTCACTTGCCATATGCCAATATGTATGATAGAATACATGTTTCACAGCTGTCCTAATGTTTACCAACTAAAATGATAATAAACACATTCAATACCGCTATACGAGGCATTTATAAATTCTCAGATATATATCATAACATGTAAAAATGTATGCACAGTCGTTCAGGTATATCCATTTAGGTACAATGATTTATAAAGACTCTGCTGTAAATTTAAATGATTTCCTAAACTTGCATCCACTTCTTTTGTTACAAATTCTATTTTGATATAAATATGAAAAGATTCCCTTGAGTGCTTCCTGATTTATTTGCTATCTAAAATAGGAACAATTGATTTGTTACAAAGATGAGTTCTCTTTATCAGTAATACTAATTGGAAATTTCAATGGGAATTTTTGACGGTACAAATCAGATCTTATTAACAACTACTTGTCCTGGTACAGAAAATAATACCCAGTTAAAAGATATGTAAAATATTTGTTCTTATGTTTTTTTTGTAATTCTTGACTAAATTACACAGTGAATGTACACACCATCATGTCTATTTTTGTATTCGTGTACTTTTTAAAGCTTAGATATAAATCAAACATAACTAATTTAAGTTTACCTTACTGTAAAAATCATGCTTTAACCACAGACAAAAATAAATTCGATCAAATCTATACATTGGGGATACAAGCATGGGCAGACTTAATTTTTTAAATCCTGACACAATTCCAATTATTTTCAAGGGGATATCTAGTCATGCAGATATAACAGGCCTTAAGGCTACATGCCATATGATGCTAATGCACACAGCTATTGGCAAAATACTTCTGACATTTGCCCTGTATGCTTTGTGGGGATGAAGCTTTTCATCGCCAACTCCTGATCAATAGTACTCCAAACTGAATACACTTCAATCTCCACACACTGGAATTCCTCTATACCATTGTGGTACACTCTTTTCATGCGTTTTAAAACTGCAAGGTATTTATAACAAGGAATAAAAGCAACACATGTATAATGGATAATTACTAAAGCTGGAGTCACTAACACTGTTACTGAGTTAACATTGATTCCATATGGAAAGAAGAAGACCAACTTATAATTGGCTTGACTAATGAGAGACAATTTGTATTTAGGGTCTATTATGTATACCAAGATGTTTGTACTATGGAAATACACAACAAAAACTAGCTGTTTTGTCAGTGAAGCTTATCTTTAAAACGATGTTTTGTAGACAGACAGAGTATCATCATCATAATCATGTAAAAAATGCAATTCTGGAACATATGGATGTATCAAGCAGAAACTCAGAACCGTGTTTTTCATAGGCAACTAATATCATTTTGGCATCATTATTGGTCAACAGGAATATGTACACAAGTACACTGTAAATGGAAACATACAGGGTTAACTTGAAATAGTCACAAGAACGTAAGATTTCTCCAGGAAATTTAACATACCTAAATTGCCTTCAACAGCTCAAAAACATTATACTGTAATGGTCACAATGTACAATATGATCTAATTTATTGTACATACTGTCTTCATTTGTGATGGTGAAAGTCAGTCCGGAGTCTGGTCCGGTGTAGCTGGAAAAGACCTCATCACTCAGATGACCAATGTCCAGCAAGGGAAGGTCGTTTGAACATTTACCAGAAAAAGTCTCATTGCCAAAACGTGCCATCCTGCAATGTAAAAAACAATTAGTATGACTTGAAGTGATTACTGAGCCACACAATGAATTATTCAAAGTTCTTGAGCTTTAGTCACCACACAAGTGAGAAGCATGTGAACACAGGGACAGATGAGGAAATTTGATCTCCATACAACATTACAGCTATATATGTATACAAGTTTATCTTCATAGACAAGGTACTTGTTCCATAATGCTTCTATATATATATAGATAGACCTGGCTTGCATTACATTGTATAATCATCTCCAACACTAATGGCACCAATACTTCCCTGTACATTTACTTTGTAATATTTGTCTGTACAGAACATAAAACAAGCACCAACAGTTCACCATACCACACAGCTAGATGACTGGGCTGTTTGCCCATTTTACTAGTGATATTAATGCACTATATACATGTAGCTACCACTACCCAAAGTACTGTCTATTTCACTGATCCTGATCATTGCTGACGGACAGTGCTGGTCTTTGGGGTAAAAGGGCTTACATATTGTATATCTGTGTTATAACTATAGAAGTATACTTGATACAGGGCAGATGAGATGCTGGCCATTGCTTGTGCCCATTTGACCTTCCAGGTGATTGATGGGTGGATGGCTATCCCATACGCTGGGGATGGTCACTTTCATAAGCATCCAGGACAATGTATATAAAGGTTAGGGCAATCAGCCCTGGTCATCTGCCATATCCATATTCTCATAATCTTGCAGTAGTGTATATCAACCTAAATTTAGATTGTTGTAGTTGGGTTTTTTTTACAATTGAAGCGATTTCTAAGAGCACATTTTTTGTTTGTTTATAGCCGATGGTATAATAACCAATGGTAATAATAAGATAACGTCCTTTTGGTAAACAAGAACCTAAAAGTTTTGTGTAAATATTGTCATTTTTTTCTGATGAAATTCCAGAGAATAACTCTGCAATGTAGAACACTTTCTATGTTAAATAAATTGTCTATAGGTTGTTCAACATGTTAAAGATAAATACGATGTGGGTACTAACATTAGAGAGCTATTGCTATTAACTATACATGAATGTCAGATCTCGAGAAAAACATTAACATTACGGTTGACTTTTATGTACTGTTGTCAGGAAACTTAATAATAAAAGCTGAAGCAGGCTATATGATAAAGAGTATGACATGGATGATGCTTTATAAGCTAACATAAAGCTAACCCTAAAATGGGTACCTGTCAGCTTATAAAACTTTCTTTGTATGGCCTGCCAAAAAGTGGGTAGGCATGATGCTGGACAACTAAAAGGGATAATAACCAGTAAAATTACATGTATATATTGTATTTTTGTACCAGTGTCGATATTACCCAGACTTGTCATTGTCCTTATAGTTAAATTATAGCTGCAGCTGATATTTTCAAATCATTATCACCCATGCTGTATATATATACTTCATGGGTAACATAAATCATTCAGAGATCAGAAATTACATTGAGCAATTCACGATTGTTCTATGCTTGTCATCTCCATCAATTATATTCCAGCTCAATGAGTTAACAATCAGACAACTTTGCTGAAAGGTATAAATTACATCAATAATGCTGGTGTTCAGTGCCTCAACTTCGTTCATAATAGAAATACATTGATTTTTAGTTCACATAAATATATCAGGCCAAACAAATCCTATTTTGTGTTTCAGGCATCTTCAAAATCTCATGGTTATCAATACAAATTACCTTCACTTCACAGAGAACATATAAGGGTGTGAAATCCTTGGAATTTCTTGAATCCTAGAAAGTACAATAACACTACCCATATAATTTCAAGCACAGGCTATAAGGGAGTAGAACTCACAGAATTTCAAGAACCTAAGAGAATATTAATAAATATACAATCCATAGAATTTCAAGATCCTAATTTCCTAATTAGAGAATATAATTTCAAGAGAGAATGACTACTGCAAGCATTTGAGAATGTAAGAGAACTGGTACGTATACATCCCCTTGGATTTTTCAAATTACGTTTCATACATATATATATATATTAAATTTTCTGTGGCAAAGTTAAAATGCATGCATTTAAATCATCTTTCTAAACTTTATATTCATGAATTTCAACACTTGCATAAAAACTTTAATCAACAGACTTGCAGTACACACTCCCGGGTCCAACATGACCAAATAAACCCTCACCTACCCATACCACATTCTTTGAATATTTATACAAGCAGCTAAATTATACAATTGCATGGTAATCATTATTCCCCAATTCTTTTTACCCCTATTATTAAAATTGTATACCATTGTGGCCATCTTTTAGATTCAGTTTGGGACAAAGTAGGTTTGAAATACTAACTGGATAACTGTAAGTCTTTTTTTTTAAATTATTAATAGTATCAATGTATCATGTTTTTGTGTGCTATTAACTAAAGGTATAAATTACCCTTTGCTTTTTCATAACAACTAGATTGTCTGAACAAATAAATATCTTAAAAAACCCCACCATAAAGGCATGTAAAGGAAGTTGAGAAACATTATTAATTTACAAGTCTTACAGAAATAGTTTCCCTGACAGCTAGTTTCCTGACTGAGAAACCCTAGCTTCTTACATATATCATATATGTCACATAACACAAATGTGTTGTGAAACTATGAATGTGTACGTATATTTTATTTCTGTGCATCACTTCAAGAACACTGCTGTTGTAAATGAAAGTTTACAAACAAATGTAAACAACAAAAAGTCAGTTGATAAATCTGTTCCTACCTGTACACTGTGTTGGTTTGTTGTATCCCTACATCACAGGGTACTATGGTACATGTAATACTGGTGACAGGTCACAAGTGCTTTGGTGGTTTTCAAAACAGCAGCAAGGGTGATATTTCCGACCCGAAAAATCAATAAATATTTACCTACATCTTGGATAAACAAATAGTATTCATATACCCAATCTAACACTAGGTTCGCAGTTCCAGCTGTACTTGGTGAGACCTTTTGAGGAATATTTGTATTGTGTTAAATGATATAAGACTCAATTACATTGCTGTTCACATTAGTATTAGTTCTGCATTGGTCATCAGATCTAGAGGCCATAATACAATGTTAACCTTAGCAAGTTCGATTCATATACATATGAGCAACTTAAGTATAACCATTATACAAAGGGGTGAAATATCAATATTAATTATATATGCATTCCATGTACATTTATTATATGGTGTTTATATATGTACATGTATAAATATGTACCATTTACATACAATGATACATATTTTTTTTGTGTACTTTTAAATAAACTAAGAACTTCATTTAAAACACTGAGCACTACATACAAAATTTACACTATCAAAGGAACTTTCTTCTCAACAATATTCAAAATTTTGTTTCAAACCTGACAAGATTTTATAGTAATATACATGTAATATTATTTCAACATCTGAACATGAGAGGGAATCCTAACTTCCACCAATTTGTATCTGGTGTGCCTAGTCCTATAGGAGCCACCAATTCTACACTGTGATGAGTTAAATTAGATCTGTGTTGATAAATACTTCTGACAACAGCATCTGTAGCCACATGCATTGTCAACTTGATTCAACACCAGGGAATAATTATTCAATAAATGTTGATGATTCATATTGATGATCTGTCTTGTAAACATCAGAGTAAATCACAAAATAACAGTAAAGTAAAATAATTTAAAAGTAGAAACTATGCGACGTACTTATACCAGTAACATTTGTGGTTTTATCACAGAATTCAGTTGGAAAACTAGCTTTGATTCACTTGATAATATTTTTGAGTCTGTCATTCAAAGCTGGGAATGCTTTAGCTGTCTGTATGTTTTTGACAAGGAGAGCCCACATCACATCTGTCCTATAGCCAACCAAGGGACCACTCTTAGTGCTTGTCACCAACATCATTGTGTATTGGCTAGACACACAAAGACATGTCTCCGCAGACCATGTGCACATCACCAATTAATGATGGGGTACAAAGCTGAGGAGGATTACAGACGTAAATCAAACACGTAATCCCGGTATAATTAATCAGCCATTGCAATCTAACTGTCCCCTAACATCGGTGACAATGACATTGTTCTTTGTGAAAAAATGTTTTTTTTTATCTTTGTTGAAACAAATTTTGCATTGTGTGAATTGGAAACTGAATAGCATGTATAATTGTCTCTTTTATCACATTTTGTTATTCATAAATTATCTATCCTGGTATCTTTGTTGTGAAGAACAAAACCAATTCAATTCACTTTCAGACCCTTTTTCATATTTTTCATCAAAATACGCAGTAAATTTACAATTTCCTGGCAGGTCGATTCCAAAAGTGATCAATGATTTTGAATGAAAATTCTAAGAATTACTGTAGGACAGGGGGTGGATTTCTAAAACCCAAAAACTCCTCTACGTTTACTGCTAACTGTCAAGAACAAAACATTAAAGTTTATGACATAATGAGAATATTTTAAGTATCAGTATGCAAGTCTTGCAATTATAGGAGCTGCAGAAGCTAAAATAAAAACAATTATCTAGGTCCTTATGCAATAATGAAAAGTGACAACTGTAAGTTTTCGTCCTTGATTCAGACTTGCCAACTCTACCTATTTTGGAGGTAGAATCACGATTTTGGATCCTAAAATTGAGTATTTTTAACAAGAGAATTTGATAAACCATTCCGATTTTCTTAGATCTGATGATTTCACCTGAAAGAACAGCTAAAAGGATGCCATTAAAAAGTGTTTACTTCCCCAAGAGTGTACATATATATATATACAATTTATTTATGCTTTTAATTCGGAACAATCATAACCTCCCCCATGGAAATTTCAAAAAAGTTGGCATTTATGTTCATAAGGTCATGTTGATATCAAAGTTAGCATCACTGATCATGATCTAACATCACCATTGTGTATATACACAGTATGTAAATGCACAGTCAGACAGGGGTTCGAACCCAGGACCCTCCCAACTCTATCATTTAGCTAATAATGCATCTGTTTCGCATTTCCACACACAATAGGAATTGGATTTAAAGTTTATATTATTGCACAGTAAATACACATGTACGATATATCTTACATTACTGGCATGTATGTAAAACCTGCTGCTGCTGCTGCTGGTAAATTTCTATAATATACATATTTTGTTAGTAAAGAGATGCTGTACATGTAGTCCAGACATCATATCAAAAGATGCTTATCTTGAGGGAATGGCAATGCTTTTCAACGAGTCAAGAGAAGCAAACTGTTCTAGTTGTATCATGTTACCATAGGCAGTAGACATATAATGATATCGCCCACCACTACATCGCCGCTATCACACACAGTAAGTAACTAGAGGCCTGTCAGCCCAGGCTGTTATCGTGTGGTACGGTTTTTCTTAACGCAATAGTTTGGTCTGTCAGCTTACTTTAAGAAATATATCCATACGGTGGGTATCAGCCTCTGTACCACCACGTGAAGGGACATACATTTTACACATTTTTGTCGCAAGAATAGCACTACAGTGCTAATGTTATTATGTTACATGTATATGCGACGTTAAATAAAGCTTCTGGACTCTTGACACCCTGCGGACGAGACAACTTATTGAAAATGGCCTATAACCACGGACTAATTCCGTGCTATAACACAACAGTCTGTACTGTAAACAATAATTATAAATAAACACATATATCGGTCACCGAGTAACTATATAAAACAATTTGATACCCACTCACCTCTGGCAATATTTTCAAATATGTGGCATCCTTGTGACCTGTCAGTGCAGATGACAGCACGGATTCCGTTTATGTGTCATTAAGTCTGTCTGATGAGCTGCCAATTTGCAAAGTGGTGATCCCAAAATCGAATGCAAACCAAAACGTTACAGTAAAGCCAAAACACGGTCGACCTCATATCCCTACCGCTTCCGGTAGTTGTGCATTGATTATGGATTATGTTTGTTACTCATTCGGAATGACTCATTTCTATCCAATATTATGTTAATTAGCAAGACAAACCGTTAGAACTCCTTCCAGACTCACACGACTCTGGTCAAAACATACCACGTCTCAGTTAATTATCTTCTTCACTATCTAATGCGTCTGCCTATTGGCACGAAACGCTTCTGTGACCTCGACAAATTCTCAGTTAGTTTATGCTTGTGAGTGTTAGGCCTATTTTGTTGTCACACAAACGTGGGTGAAGAATGTGGAGTACGACAGGAATGTTTAACTGTTTTGTCTTGTCATATTGTGTGAGCTTGTAGAATAACGGATCAGTATGACACATTTGGCTTAATAACAATTTTTATGTCCGCAACAATGGACTGATCTTCTACCAATTTTATAAATAAAATTGACAACTAGCGAGCATAACCGACGAGGTGGCCGAGTGGTTAAGGCGATGGACTGCTAATCCATTGGGGTCTCCCCGCGTGGGTTCGAATCCCATCCTCGTCGTCTTAATTTTTTTTCATGCATTGTTATATCAAATAATTGTGTTATGATTAAATTCAATTGCACCATAAACTGTGATTAAATATTTTTCATACAGTTATATTAAAGTCAGAAATATTAGTATGATATATTTAAGAATTAACCACACGAGATTAAAGTTCAATTATATAACGTCAATAGTCAAGATATACATTTTTTGTACTCTTCCAAAGGAAACGGAATGTCGTATCGTATTATATATTGGAAGACTGTTCGATGCGACGAAAAGTATAATTATGGCGCACATGTAATGTCACACCAGAATTAATTAAATGTGTTTATCCATCGGACGGAAAATAAAAAAATCTCAATGTAATGAAAATAATATGTAGCAAAATAAAAAATAACACAATATTTGGGTTTCATTACTTATCTAGCTAAACTGAAGCTCTTATGATCTTTTGATCTCTGACCTTTCGGGTTTTTTAGTAACACACTTTCTTTTGGTTCATCGAACATAAAATGTGTTGAACGGAACAGCATCTTGTATCAATCGTTATAAATGGGGGGAAATCATGTTTGATGTTTGGGGACAACCAAGGCACATTTGATGTTTGGGGACAACCAAGGCACATTTGATGTTTGATGACAAACAGGGTTTCATTGGGACCAAGCAGGGTAGTTTGGTGACAATGAAGTCATGCTTGTTGTCAAGAAGTGTAGATTATAAGAGTGGTATAGTTGAGGACAAGCAGTGTTACACGTATATTTGTAGACAAACAGAATCTGTTCGGGTACCATCAATAACATCAATAGCATTTGCTTCTGTGTTTCCTTGTCCTATGCCGAGAACAGCCATAGAAACCTCTGTTGACAGCTATTCTTTAAGCAATTGTAGAGGCCACGGTAAATTTGCGAAAAGAAACAATCTCAAGTTCACCGCTTCATGGACTTCGATCGGAATGAGGCAACTGGTAGGTCCACATTGTTATATAATGATAATGCAGATGTTTTCAAACTGTCAAGGTATTGAATGCATAATATTCGCAAGCTATAGACTTTGTACGATTGTGTTTGTATGAACTCACATTCTTGCTACCATAGCGATTGTTGACATGTATGTGTTTATTAACAATTTTTAATAATTAATTTAAGTGGTTATGCATGACCGATTTACTTATGACAATGTTCCTGTTAATGTTCTACTGATGAATAATTTGGCTAAGTTGCTTAATTTCAATATCATTACACGAATATTATGAATGAAATTGAAATGTATTAGTTGAAAAAGAAACCATTAAATAGGAAAATCGTTCAGTATAAATCAATATTGATTATAAAAATTAAGAGTCATCTTGAATAATAAAAAAGTAACCATACAAAATATGTAACATGTATTTGGTCATAGACGCACAAAATTATGAAAAATGTTAAAAGTATATAAGCGATAATCTTAAGGAAAATGTATATATAAGTATGAAGTTATTCAAATTTTAGTAATTATTGTCGACTTTTGTAGGATTAATTTAAAACACATGGTTTCCAGAGATAGACATTGATGAAGAATATGGGTAAAATTTATGATCGCCACCATGATTTCATCCGGAAAACGCTATTTCTTTGTGTGAGAGAAAGGTCGATGTTTTATTTTATTATGTCCATTAGTGTGCCTTGTAGTTTTGTCACTGTTCTCGCTATGAGACGTGGCATTACTAGGATTAGAACTAGAAGCAGAAGACGTTGATACTTGCAGAACACCTGGTTTTATTTTCCTTTGATTGTTTCTACAAATTAATAACTATTTTGCTTATAACTAATTACGCTTCTAAAAGTGGACATGCTATGCTGGTAGCTCGTTTTTATTACGGACATCTTTGTCAAGTAGACCGTCTTCAACCTTTCTCCACACTTCAAGAGTTTAATCATTTTTCTTTTTAGAGAGCTACACGATACCCCTGATATCTTGCAGTTCAAAAAACCACTAGACAGTCACAGAAACAGATGCATAGATTGAGGGAGGGGGAAGACAGAGAGAGGTTTATGGCTTTAAGAGAAAATATGTAACGTATATACCTAAAACTGTTAAAAATATCTGATGATGTGTTTTCGAAAGTAGCATGAAAATATATCTTAACTTCTTCAGTAAATCCCGTCACATTCTATTACACAATTCTGCCTCAAGTGAAGTTTTAAGCGCTGCAAGGTTTACAAAAAGAGAACCAACAAGAAAGAGATGCTGGAGAACAGCTAAAGGGAGGTAATACGACAGAATTAAAACAGTAGACCTATGGCAGCTCTAGGGTAATTTATTTCTATAATGTAAATACATGTTATAGCATATATTATTCTTTTAAGCAGTACATAATACGTATAAAGGCAAATAACTAAATAAATGATCATCGTTTAGGCAAGTATTTTTCAAGTTTGCTTAAATATCGTTCCTCTATACCATGAGTAATGTATTTCTGAATCTTATAATACTCTTTAATCAAATTAACGAGAACCATGACATAAAGTGAATTACATCTTCGTGTATGTAAACATCAAGTTTTGCATATATACCATTTATCTAGTTATATATATCAGTACATAATGTTTGATAAAAAGTATAATTTAACTATCAAATCTATTTCATATTTCTGTTTCTCCTGAAACCCAAAGATACAAGTTTCTTTTTAACCGAGGAAGTATCGGTAGGGACATTTACATTATCACTTCTAAAAAGATCCTTTTAGAAACCCCGTGAACTTCTTTTCTTTCTGATGCATAGTTATTGATATATCTATTTTCTGTTATTATTGTAAAGTTCTCCCTAGACCAGTTTCGGTAAAAAAATGTTTTATTTACTATACATTGTCGTTATGTTATACCATTTGGGTACTTTCAAGAGTGAATGTTTTCTATTCAGATCTTCTTCTGCTTTTGGTATGAACCGTATAAATGTTATAAATCATAAGCCGTTTCAACTCTGACCTAAACATTCTCCTTATCCAACCAATTTTCAGAGGTTCAATAAAAGCTCTCAGGTTTACCATTTGATCTACCCATCCACATATATATATATATATATCTGAAAGTTAATATTTTTTGTCAGGATTAATAATATTCCCGACATCGATTACATTGTCAGTCATTATTACCAGAATGGTGAAAACTAACCGTACGTTATGATACGTATTGTTTATCAACCAGTATATGTCTGTTGAATAGTGTTACATTTTTAACATCAGTTAATGTTCTCTACATTTTTCAGGATATTACTACTTATTTATTTAGTTTGTGGCATCTTATTTCCTTTTTTAATTTTATTAATGGGTTTTTTCACAGACGAAACAATATATATTCTAAAGATAGAAAAATGAAATAACGATAAGAAAACTAATGAGTCAATTTTTTGAGTAAAAGTTTTTTCTGAATATTTTTAGCATATGTACAAGCTATAACAGTTTTTGTTATAGTTATGTGTTTCTAATAGAGCTTGTGCTTTATTCCTTAGTTGACGTATCCCCCTTTTGTGAGACATAGTAATCCGATGTTAGACACTGATAGCTCTCACGTGGGCGAGGTGATACTTTCACAGACGGAAAATAAATGTCCATAATGACGCAATAAGGTTGCAAACTATTTTGGAGCATGTTTCGGGAAAAGAACAACAAAGACCAAAATGAAATATAGTGAGAATGATTCCTCGTGTAAGACACATCGGAGAGTAGACATACAAATAGTACAGTATATTACAAATTTACAATGATACATGTATACAATAATAGTCAAATGCAATATGATGCATGTTGGACAATGGCATACGTGATAACTCATTAATCGTTTGGGTTTGATGATTAAGTTAAAATCTTATGGAATTTCAGGATAATTGTATCAATGGTTTTCAATGGTAATCTTCCTAACTCACAATAAACCAAATTATTACACGTACTCTTCTTGACTCCGAGTAGCCTTTTACAAAAATGTATGTGTATCTTTTCAACATCAAGAGCTTTATGAAAGCCCCATACTTCTGCACCGTAACTTAAGACGCTATTAATATAAGTGTCGAATACAGAACATTGTGTTTTGATATTAAAATTATGATTTTTGAACTTATTACAAGGCGCATACTATGCCTTATTACTTTGATCTACAACATGCTTTTGAGTGACATAAAATTTACCGTTGTAATTAGCGTTGGAAAATTACCTATTTAAGAGGCACCAGAAAGTCTTTTTGAATAATACTTACTCCCACTTAGGTTTCAATGAAGCAGGTGTTCCTCAGGTTTCGATTCTTGGACCTCTTTTGTTTCTAATCTATATTAATGATATTGCTGATGTTTTTGAGTCAACCGCTCGTCTTTTTGCAGACGATACTTCTTTGTTAAAATCATCCTCTTCGTGTCTAGAAATCCAAATGGTTCTGAATAGAGATCTCGAGTCTCTTAATGCATGGTCCCAAACTTGGTAAGTAACATTCAATCCAGAAAAAACTGAAGTAATTTTTGATTCAAACTCGGTTGAAATTAATGAAGATTTGGAATTAGAATTTAATGGCGAATTTTTAAATTTTATTGATCATCATAACCATTTAGGTGTTAATTTTAATTCAAGGGCAAAATGGGGGGATCATATTTGTGCAATATATACTTCAGTTATGAAAAAGTCAACGTCTTACGTAGACTCA